TCGTTTGCTTGTTTAGTCTGTTTGACTCACCACGACATCCCCCGTTCCTAGAAATGTTAGGCAAACACAGGGCAGACATGCACTAAACAGCTACTCAATAAATGCTCGGAATCCCAATCTTCAAAATCTACCTACTCTCCTCTCCTGTTTACCCATCACATAGTCACTCCAGCCATTCCTCAGCCTCCAGTTTCAATTTTCCCTCCGGTGGTCTGAACGTTTTTTTTTTTTTTTCTGTAGAGCCACAAGATGGCAGCATCAGTCTCCTTTTGAGTGAGTTGAGGGCTGTTTTTTTTTTTACCTTGTCTAGAGCAAGCCCTGCAGTTACATCTTCGTTGGCTAGTTTCTCAAGCCACCCTACATCCTGGGCTTTTGTTTTTCCCCGTCAGTACCAAGTCCGTGAAGTATTGCTACGTTCACACTCTGAAGTTCTAACTTTGAGCTAAGGAAAAAAGGACTGCATGTAGAGACGTAAGAAGGTTGGTGTGATTCCAAGGTTGCCTCACAGCAACCCTGTTTGGTGTTCCTTAAGCTGTTTCTGTAACAACAACCTTGCTCGACAAATGACAAACACAAATCTCTTGTCTCAGAATCACGATGTCAAACGACATTGTGATCTTACCATCCTGTAAGAAACAACAAACCAATTAAAGTCTTGTTTCCTAACAAAAACAAAGGGAGGTCAGTTCTGCAACGGAGCTCGCAAGGCCTTCTGGGGAACCGTTGGGAGCATCTTCCAGAATGAAGCCTTGTAGGATGGAGACAGTCTTGACTTAGAAATGAACAAATCTGAGCCTGACCCGGTGGCCCATGCCTGTAATCCCAGCACTCGGGGAGGCAGAGGCCAGTGGATCTCTGTGAATGAGGCCAGCCTACTCTGCAAAGCCAGTCCAGGACAGCCAAAGTAACAGAGAGAAACCTGTCTCAAAAAAACCAAAGTACAACAAAAACCAAACAAACAAACAATAAAAGAAAGAAAGAAGGAAATAAAGATTGAAAGAGCAGGAATCTCCTTACCTCCAACCTAAGCCAAGCTCTCATTCTTCCAGGATTCCGTTTCTGCCTTTTTGAAGCAAGCATAACATCACCTCTCCTGCGTTCAGAGGAAAGGGGAGAAATCGTTCTGTAGATTGCACAGCATGGCCAACTTTACTCTGCGTGAGCTAATGTGAGAATTGCTTTCACTTTATGTGTAAGAAAACTGGTTCCATCCAGTTGAATAGGCTTGCTTAGATCAGTAAAATGGGACTAATGAATGTGAACTTGTCTGTGTAAGAAACAATATTCATTTAATGCATTGCCTTTTTTCATTTTTGCTTCTTAACATTCACTTGTCTATTGTGTACCAGGTGATTTCAGACACATTCTATTCTTTCATTTTTAAAACTTTTTTGAGTCTTCCACAGGAAGAAAAAAAAAAGGCCAACCTTATTTAAAAGCCTTGAGGAAAGTGAAAAACTGGTTCCTCAGTTTGCAACAGGTCAAACAGCAGAGACAAGATTTTTCTGCCCTACATCCCCGCTCACCCTGCTTTGACTAAGGAGGGTAAGTATGGAGTTACTCAAGATATCAAATTTAGTGTTCACAGTAGCAAGCCAGTCAGCTTTGATTAGTACAGACCAGAGGCGGAGTGGGTCAGCTTTGAGGAACTGGATCAATGGGCGCTTTCTGGCCAAAGGGATGTCTTCTTCCTTTTCACAGCTTAAACCACAGGACTCTGAGTCTTTGAGTACACAACTTTATGGAGAGGGTCTCTGCGACTTTTCTCTCAAACATTTCCAGAGCCAATTCATCCCCGCTTTTCAAAATAAATAAATAAAAATGATTTACTAGATATTAGGAAAGAGAGAGAGAAAAAGAGAAAGTTATGAGGTAACGAGAGATCCCAGAAATAAAGGCGATTAAACCCCCTGGGAGGGAGTGGTTATTTGAGAATGACACGCCGCTGTTGCCACACGTACTAAGTCACTCTTATAAAGGCATTTATCCCCGCTGATGTGATGGTTTTTACACAGCCATGGTAGTGAACCGGCTGTCATTTTAATGTGTGAGTTTGGGTAAGCTACGTTTACCAGGAATTTTAATTACTTAATGACTTTGAAATGACACCACTGTGAATTATCGTCATGCTGGCTTCACTAGGTAAGATGGTTTAGCCGTCAGAGTCAAAGCCGAGAAGAGAGAGGACAAGGGGGATAAAAAAGAATGAAGAAAAAGAATCAAGTTGAGAGGCCTTCAGACTTATGTATCTGTTTAGGCTTAGCTGCACCTGCTTACCTCAAGAATTAGGTTGACACTGTATTTTATGACTTGCTCAAGTAAATTTTAACAAACATTTCAGATATTCTGCTCCCTTGAGAGCTATCCAAATATAATCTTGTTTGCATAGAGCTGCACGCATCAATTAACACTGTGATCTTTTAGTTAGGAAAGCCGTGTAAGTGGAAATAGAAAGCTTTTATTTAAACATCCATTTATCATCTTTTAAAGAAATCTGCTTTTGGGATGATAGATTTTTTTTAAAAATCTTTCTTAATAAGTAATTGAGTTTAAGCCAGAGAACCTTAACATAAAATAGGTTTTTTGAACTAAAGCTAGTATGGGTTAAAATTAGCAATCTCAGTAATCGGCTTAGCTACTGTGCCGTTGGACAATGAGAGAAGTTTGGCTTTTAAAAGTGCTTATATTCTTAATGTAATTCATCTTCCAGATGAGGGGAAGCAGGAAGTACAGAGGGAGATAACTGAATTTCACTTAGTTGTTTCTTGGGCAGTGGCTTTCACCACTACTCCTTCAGCTCTCTAAGCTGTACAGGCCTTGGGGTTCAGGCTTTGGAGAAGCAAGTTATGGTCACTTGAGAAAAGTGAAATAAGGTAGAGTAGGAAATGGAGGCCCAGATGCTATGGGGGCCCAAGGTGGAGGGAGAGGTTAGAGGAGGTTGCAGTTTGTAAAAGCTGCCTTTCCTTCCATATTGGAAATCTGAAGACTGGGTGACTTTGAATTTCAAGGAGGGTTCTGGGCAGGGACAAGACCCTGGTACCCAGAATTCCTTTTAGAATGCTATTAATTATGACATTAGCTCTGCATTGTTGCTTCTGTTTTAACAGGTGAGGCTGTGCTGCTTCTCCTGAAGGGGGGTTTAAAGGAACGTTTCTTAGAAGCCAGGGGTCTTACTCACTCTCCTCCAAATGAGGATGCTGTCTCTGATTGCCAGGTGACAAGCCCACTCCAAAGATTCCTTGGGGCATCTGGCTTTCGGAAGACAGCACTCTGCCTTTCCTTGCCAGTCTCACTGTTAAGCAGTTCCAATTTGAGCTTAACTCAGCATACCTCAAACCTGGAGCACTAAAGAGACTCGGTGAGGATAATAATTTATACAAATGACTAATTTTTTTGGAAACTCACACCAAATTAGACTGAGGCGAGGATTACGAGAGTGGCCTAACCAAAATTCTGAAGGTGAAATCAATTCTGTGCGGGAATCAAGCAAGGGCACAGAGAGGACGTGAAAGATGGCGATGCACCGAGGAGAAACAGTTTGCTAGCTGGGGGAGGAAGGTCTACGGTGTAGGGAGGGGGCGCGCAGTTCAAAGAGGTATTCAAGAGGGCTGAGGGTGGAATACAGGGTTACGGAATGCTCCAATAAGGGAGTCAGATATGGTTTGTACTATGTCCAAAAGCTAGAACCTGGGGGTGGGGAGATGATTGCTCAGTGATGAAGAGCAATGGGTGTCCTTCCACAAGACGCAGGCTGCGTTTCCAGCACCCATACAGTGGCTCACAATCATCTGTTACCCCCCTTCTGGGGATCTGACACCTCTTACGGTGTTATGCAGGCAAAACGCTAATATATATAGGATAAATAATCTTTTTAAAAAAGCTAAAACCAGTTGCCCGTGGGCGCCTTTAATTGCATCTCTTGGGAGGCAGAGGCAGGCAGATCTCTGTGAGTTTAAGGCCAGCCTGATCTACATAGTGAGTTCCAGGACAGCCAGAGTAGAGAGAGAGAGAGAGAGAGAGAGAGAGACAGCCATCTCTCTATTATGAACACCCTCGGGAGAAATACACAATGAAAGACCAAGGAAGGATCATCCTGGCCCTACAAGTGTTCATTCTGTCTCGAGGAAAAAAAAAAAAAAAAATCAACTCATATGAAATTGATCAACGTTATGGAAGCATTCAAGGAAAAACATTAGATGCCTTGAAAGTCAAAGCTAATGACGCTATTGCTGTTCTGTGGTTCCCCGGGTGGCACAGGTACGCTGGAGGCCAGCTGGACTAGCAAAGGGGTGAGCGGGCTTGGCTTGGGTATTCCCACGCCAAGAAATGTTAGTATTGGCTCAACTTATGAAGCTCTTCTGCTGTACAAGTGCTATTCTAGAAGCTTGTGTGAATTAATCCATTATATCCCCACCATGGCTGCTTGGGGCAGAAATACTTAGTGTCTGAAGTTAGCTCGCGGGGAAATTGAGGCACAGAGGATTCTAGAGGATTCTAGAGCAGGGAGTCTGGCTCCGGAGTCTTCGGAATCTAGCACAACTATCCGGTGCTGAGTGTTAAAACCAAAACAACAACAAACGCAGCTTTCCTTGAAAGTTTTTAGAATAATCCAACTCAAGGCTGAATTTTGAAAACTGAAAAAAAAAAAAAAAAAAAAGCATTTTGGTATTAGAGACACCCCCCCGCCTCCCCCAGTCCAAGGCCAGCAAGAAAATATTTTTATTTATATGTATTTTTTTTTTTTCTTTTGTGACACTCTGGAGTTTTTGAACGCTAGGGGCTCCCTGATTCTCTGCTTTGAGAGCAACTTTTCCTTTTAGGATTTTTTTTTTTTTTTTGAAAGGGGGTGGGGGAAATGTGGCCTTCATTATCCTACGTTTTAGGCAGCTTAAGGAAGGGGCTGTGCTTTCAGAATCCCGTCGGAGCCAAGTAAGGAGGTCCTTCTCTCCCCCCCACCCCCACCCCCCCTCGCTTTTTAAAGGAGCTCGTGAAATATAAGCTCAGAAAACAAACCGAGCGATCACAGCGGCAGTCCGGGCGGCAGCAGCGGGAGGAGGAGGAGCAGCAGCAGGAGGAGGAGGAGGCAGAGTTGGAGTTTGGGCAGACGCTGCGGAGAGCTGCAGCTGCAGGACGCGGCGGAGTCGCAGGGTTCCGCGCCGCTCCATTCATTAAGTAGCCGCGGAGGACCGCGGCGGGACGCCGAGCGCTGCCCACTCGCAAAGCCCAGCACGCAGACGCACGCCAGCCGGGCGCGTCCCAGGCAGCACAGCGCTGCAAAAGTTCCTGCTCGCGATTTGGCTCTCCTCCCCTTGGACTAGCGAACCGTTTGGAGCGGAGAGGAAAGCAGAGGCGCCCACAGGGGAAACCTACCCGGTCTGCAGTTGGAACTACTCGCCGCCGCGTCCCGAGCGCGCAGACCGGCTCCAGAGCAGCGGCGGCCCGCAGCGCCCCGGGAGGCTCCCCGTAGCCAGCGCCATGCAAAGCTACAAGTACGACAAGGCGATCGTCCCCGAGAGTAAGAACGGCGGCAGCCCGGCGCTCAACAACAACCCGAGGAAGGGAGGCAGCAAGCGGGTGCTGCTCATCTGCCTCGACCTCTTCTGCCTCTTCATGGGTGAGCGCAGCCCCACGGGTCCCACCACCCCCGTCTCCGGGCTCCGGGCCCCGCCGCGCTGTCAGCCCCCGGGGCCCCTCAGCCACCTCCCCGAGCGCGGTGCTGGCCGCGAGCTCCCCGCCCTCCAGGACCCCTAACCCCTGGCCTGCGAATTCAAGTTGGGGCGTGCTTGTGCGTTCGCGGCGGCTGGAAACAGCTCCTTAGGGGTGATTTCCAGCTGGGAGCGGGGCACAGCAACTCGGAAGGTGTGGGCCGGGGCTCCAGGATCTGGAGGCATCGTGTGGCTCTCCACCCTGTATCCGAGTTTGATGCGAGACCCATCTCGGTCTCGGGGCGAGCCGGGCTCCCACCGGAGTGGCGCTTCTGGTCCCGCCTGCTTGTAAACATCCACCCCTTCCGTCGCGCTGCCTTGCAGGGCCAGTCGCGCGGGCTGGCCTTGTCAACTCGCTGCTTGCTCGGCTGAAAGCCCCCGGAGGGTGGAACGGGTCTCTCCCCGACCAGGTGCTGGGCAGCTTATCACTTGTTGAGCGCCTACTGTGTGCCAGGTGGGAGGCGGCTTTGCGGGTATCAGTTTTAAACCAGCTCACTCCCCGGTTTCGTGCCGGGAGGCTACTGAAGGAAAGCCAGCTCCAGTCTTGCTTAGGGACCACAGTTGAGCTGCCCTCCCTCAAAGTTGAGGCGCTAGGGTGGGAGTGAAAAAAAAAAGTGGAGAGAGAGAGAGAGAGAGAGAGAGAGAGAGAGAGAGAGAGAGAAGAATTTCTTGAATCAGGCAAGGGGAGAGAGAAGCAATTGACAGGAATCCACCATAGTTCCAAGGTTGAAGTGAAAAGAGAACTTTTTCCTTTTAAGCGAATTTTGATGTAAATCGAGGTATGCAAAACTTGTTACCAGGGCATTGCCCCTCCGCCACTAGCTGGGTGTGCCACCTAACTGCCCTCTTGGCCTCAGTTTCCTCCTCAGCTGAATGAGTGAGTTCAAGTAGATGTTTTGTGAGGCCCCTTCCTGCATTAAGAACTCGGATGCCTTCCAGGAGCTGCTCTGCCAACACTGCTAACTGAAGAAACATCTGTGTTCCCAGTTCAGTTCCCCCGAAATAGAACTCCTGCACGGTGGCTTCAGCCCCCTTGGAAGGGGTTGTTAGTCCTTGCAGATTGCACCAACCTGGGTTAGCTTCCCTTGTTGAGGATTCTGAAGGCAGTGGCCTCATGTTCTTGCCCAACTGCCGAACTACCCTCTGAGAATTTAAAATGAAGAATGGCCCTCTTCAGGTAGAGACCGTTGGAAGTTAAGACTGCGGTCTGTGAAAGGGAAGGGGAGTTTACTGTAATTCTTGCGGACCCCGTTCTCTGCTCAGTTCACAGCCGGTCAACATTAGGATGCTATGTGGAGGAATTGTCACTGGGGGGCCCACCTTCCTGGTGGCAGCAGGCTTATTATCACGCATAGTGAACCAAATGAGCACTTAAGGTCTTATAATCAAGTTGTTGAATTTTTTTTAAAGACCCTCCCAGGTCCTGCGGTGAGGGAAGCTTGATGGAGAACACTATTAAGGGATGGTAGCTGTGGGCCACTAACTTGGCTTCCCCGGGTTTGGGTGAGTGGGGTTACTACTTTTTCGGCTGCCTGCACAGGCAAACCCCCAACTCCTGCTTTATCACAAAGAAAGCAGAGCTGGACTTTCCCAACAGCCTTTGCACTCATCGCTCTTGCTTCTAAGACACTTCAGATTGGGGGGGGGGGGGGGGGGGTCTCAAAGATGCTGCACTCTTATTAAAAGAAAGCGGCGTTGAGCAGTGTACAGAGAGTAATGCCTGTCAACTATAGTGTAAGCAGAGACAATGACACCCCAAGATATTTTGCTGTGTGTTCAGGGTGGAATTAAGGGGTGTGGTCTGTGCGAATGCATTTCAACTCATTATTTGCAGCAAGTGTCTCGCCGGAGTGAAAATTCTAAACCAGTTGTCAAACTTTAGCAGAGGCACAAACTCAATTACAGCATCACTGGTTAAATGCCTCCTAACACCCTTAATTGGAAAAACTACCTGTAAGATTAACATGTATCTTGAGGTGCTTATGCACCATAACTGTTTGGCTTCCAAAAGAAGATTTAATAATACAACATGTGATTTTAATATTCTACACACTGCAGTCCTAAAAAAAAAAAATGTTTCTACTTGGTTCAGTTTTTGCCCAAGACTGTCAGTATGATTTAATTTTTCTACAGTTTATTGATCATATGGTCTGCATTACAGGGTACTAATATATTAGGAAGAGAGACAGTTTTCTGTTTATTCTCCCATAGGAATATAAGACCAGGCTTCATCTCCTAGTATCTGGAAAAACTAAAAGCTGATGTGCTTGTGTGCCTGTTATGTAAGTGGAAATATGCGAATAGGTTAACTTGTCTCACATACCTTTTCAGAATGTTAAATTCTGGGTGGAAGAAAAAAAAAAAAGCTCTCTCTTGTTTGAAGGCCAAAAGGATCTGGTGTCAGAGAACCCTGCTGGGAGCTTAGGGCCAGTCAACAGTTACCTTTGTCCACTGATTGCCTTTAAATACAATTGCAAATCTTTGCGTGGTAGGTTTTCTGAAATCCTTTTTGTTTTTGTTTCAATTAAGTACCCCGTATCACCTCCCCCTCCCCTTCACATTAGTTCTGGTGTATGGAGTTCCAGGAGAACCTACTGTCTAAGTTCTATTATTCTCTTAAAAACATAAAACAATAATTAGTATGCTTTCCACTCTACCACCTATAAAGCCATCTTTGAGCTGTAGCCCAGGAAAATGCTCCTCTCAAGGAAGGAAGGCCAGACTCTCAAGGACATCAGCATCAGTGCCTTTCCCCTACCCCCCACCCCGGCCCCATTTAAAGTTATCCTAAGTGGAGTCCTTTATCCCATTTGGAGACTCCTGAAATTCAGACCTCATGAAAAATTCTCTAGCACAGTTGCAGGGCCGCCTGCCTCATCACATCCTGCAGGTATTCCCCAGGTATCCCGGACAAAAATTGGGAGAAAAAACAAGTTCTGACTCTCCTATCAGCAATACAGAATGTGGGTGGTTAGCAACCACAGCATTTTGGTCTGGTTGTTCTAAAATGTTGACAGTTTTTATTTGCAGTTAAATAGTCATGACAATAATCTCAGAGATGGTCCCACACATGGTATACAAGGTGTCGTTGTTGCTATTCATCTATTATTCTTCGTTACTATTGTATTAGTTGATGATGAGAGGGGCAGTGGAGTATAGAGAACAGAATGGAACCCTTACACACGGAAACTAAGGTAAATTAGATGGTGGCTGGTTGATCCCAAATCTACGTGCTTGCGGACACATTGGTTTTTCTATGGGCTTTAACCTTATTTTTTTACACTGCAAAATGGCTTGTTGAGTGGGATTATGTCTAAAATCCCAGACTGTTGAATACTCTGGGGCCAAAATCTCAGAGTGGTAGAACACATTCCTGCACTTTTTCTAGGGACTGTGGCAAAAATGAGGAGCCCAGAGGTGGGCGTTGCAATCTTGTATTGACTTGTCGCTGCGTGATTTAGGCAAATTCACTTTCTGAACATGGATGTCTTATTATGGCAGCAAAGGAGAGGGACTAAATCATCTTGAACTCCTAGCTCTTAACGTTTTTGTGAATATGCCATCAGGTAGGCTGTACGCACTCAGATTTGACCAAAAACGTAATGACGAAAATTAGCCTAAGTTGGTGTTCATGGGATAGCCCTCCACCTTTTGGTGGGATGTGTCCTTGGACCTTTTCTCTGAAGCCTACAGTAATCAAAAGCAAACAACGGTGCAAGCCCAGCACTTCCTTCCATGCTCTTGTTGCTCAGTGACAGCATTTACCAACTGTGTGTTGTAAGTAATTCAGTGAAGCGGTATTGGTTTCGATAATTTAATAAACCATTGTGCCACAGACTATAAGACGGGATTTTCGTGAATCCGCTGTTGAACCACCCAGCCAACTCTCCTGCATGCACTGGAATGAACATGAAGGTGGCATGCGCTTAGAAGGTAAACTGCTGGCTTTTTTCCAGGATGGAAAACCTCTGTTTCCTCACTGCCCAGAATTGCTACCCCACTCGGCCATTTCCTTTTTCTTTCTTTCTTTCTTTCTTTCTTTCTTTCTTTCTTTCTTTCTTTCTTTCTTTCTTTCTTTCTTTCTTTCTTTTTAAATTTTCTTAAGAGATATCTTGGAGATAGCTGCCTGGGTGAGAGAATGCTACTACAGTTGGTGGCCCTTCCATTTTTAGCCTTTTGAGTGCCTGTCATTTTGAGATCCTTTGCCCCTTCCTGTGCAGTTGTCCAGGCTGGCAAAGCCCAGCTGGTCACAGCAGGATGCAGAAGAAATGGTAGTCAAGGGCTTCTTCCTTGTGTAGGCAGTAATATTTCTGGAGAAACCCCACCTCATGTGTCAGTTCGGTTCTATACAGTATTTGAGGAGTATTCTTTAATGTGGGGAGTGACCATTGTGCCCGTGTTTAATAAACTCACCTGATGTGAGAACCATCTGGTGCGAGAAACAAATTCTAAGTTTCCCCCAGGGGCTTTGGGCAGGACCCAGGATTCTGTGTTTTTATAAAACCTTTGGCTGATTTGTATCAGGTCTCTTGGAATCACTATATTGTGTATGGCTTGATGTCTTAAGGGCAATTGAATTATGCAGGGGGCTTTTTGTTCCTGCACTGAATGTCCCAGCACTTGCCACATTGTTAGGCTGTAATTATTTTGGGTTTGTTGTTGGCTGTGTATCCATCTTTTTTTTTTTTTTTCTAAGATGTGAAGTTTGTGTGTGTGAAAGGTGAAACAAGAATACACTGGATTGCTAAGTGGAGGCTTGAGCAGATCAAAGTTAACTTGACAAAGTCTTGGGAAAACAATGCAGGTTGTGGAGCCTCTCCAATTGGGACCACAGGGGACATAAAGCTAACACCCATAGGTGTGATTTGAACAAATGTCATTTGACCCCTCCGGGCTTCAGGGAAGCTGT